AGAGGCATGAGCGCTGCTTCACATAAGAGATCAGCACGTACTGCTGATTTGTCACTTTGGAGCGCTTGTGTCGTCCTCAGTATTAATTCATACATGAAGATGATCGTTGTCTTTTATAAGCTATATGAAAATCTTTTAGCCAAGATGCACGCCAATGAACCCGGCTTCATTTCTGTGCCCAGTGGAAATTATTCCAAAGACTGCAAAGAGACCTGCAGGCCTGGTCACTGTGTGTGTGTGTGTGTCTGTGTGTGTTTACACAACTCAGACCTTCAGCATCTCTTCATGGATGCTGTAATGTCCATAGGAGCTGAAGTAGGCCTCGTCCTCGTCCTCACGGAGCTCCGCCACAGCGCCCAGGGTGCCAGACCTGCTTGTTTCCGCATTCAGCACCAACCCCTGAGCCAGCACCCTGAAAGAACATCGCACAGATCGCCATTTAACTTCTCTTATTAGCACAAGGGACAAGAGCAGCGACCAGAAAGGAGAACGCACACACAGCCTTCATGCAGGACGAAGCAGTAAATGGAGGAGATGAGGGGCATTCATCTTTCTACCTCTCACCCAAATCCCCCCCTCCCCTCCAAACCCGTCCTCCCCCACAGCTCACCCTTTCTGCAATATTCCCTTATTGCTCCCCTACCTACCTTTCCTCCTCACTTTAACCTCCATGCTGCAGTGGAATTTTCCCTTCCGTTTTTTTTTATCTTTTCCCTTCCTCCAAACTTCTTCCACAAGGTACTCTAGTTAATGTTTCTGCAATACTGCGTTCACTGTGTCCCCCTGCTGGAGCTCAGAGAGCAGTGCAAATGCAACGTATTACACTGACTAAACTGCAAGTTCTGGATAATGTATTAAAAAATAAATAAATAAAAGGCCACAATTTAAAACCTAACACAATCACCCTGACATCAATGAAGATGAAACTCCAGAAAAGTCACTGACTTGAGTTTGTGCAGGTCATCCATGGCTCTGGCCAGTGCCTCCTCCGAAGAGCGGGCTCTCTCCTCCGCAGCCTGCGCCCTGTGCACAAGTACATTATGGGGATCGGCCCCAGATGCCAGGCATGACCTCTCGCTGCCACAGAGCTCCTCGGGGTCTGACAAAAACACAGACAGAGAGATAGATATGTTTGGATGTTAAATGGGGAAAAAGTTTTCCTTTTAAGGACAACTGAGTGAAAACATGAGCGACAACACGTAGTGATCAAGCCTGTGGCATACAATAAGAAGTATGCAGGACGTGGCTGTTGTTTTGGCTTAGAGTGTGCATTTTATGTATTTATGTGCTTTTCTTGCATTGATGATACAGGCAGAAATAGAGCATAAGTGCAACTATTAAAATAAGCATTAACATAAGCAAGTCAGGACTTTGCAATAGAGCTGACATTTCACAGTCTTCTGTGTAATACTGTTAATCAGGCAGAAGAAGCAGTCCTAAAAGATGAGAACCAGCAGATGAAACTGAATATTTTGATACTGTGCTGGGAGACACAGCAAACCTTCTGGAAATGGCATGTTATTGATGTGCAATGGTTATTCCAGCAGTTTCCAGTAGCCTTATGCCCTATCATGCAATCATGATAATCACAAATAGTTTATATTTTCGTTGCTGGTGTTGCGGTATGAACAGTGACCAGCAGATTCTCCACTCAACTGAATATCAAAACAGCAGAAACAGCCAGACATGTTCTCTGACCTGTGCATAAAAGCCACGCTAACAGAACAGAGATCTGTTGATAGAAAATGCAGCTACTCAAAAATCAAAAACTAAGATCTGTGTTTTAAAACTGCTTCTGTACCTGTTTGCAGCAGCGGGTCATCCTGAAGGACTGGCTGCAGGAAGTCTTCGCTCTCCCAGGGTAAAGGAGCATCTGGCAACCCATTCAGACTGGATGCTTTACATTTCTATACACACAAAAAATGTATATAGTCATGAATCTGAAAACTCTCAATTTTTTTTTTAGATATTCATTCTTCACACATAAAAAGTAGAAACATTCACATCCTGATATTTCACAGCATGATGTTCAATTCAGTTTGAAAACAGCACTCACTGTTGACCGTATAAAGTTGATCATTTTTATGTATCCGTAGTCATCTAAATCTAATGAGGGACAGAAAGTTGAGACATTTCATGAGAACAGAACAGCCATCTGCTCCTTTGGTGATGCAGGAAAAAAATCAATATCTACTTACTGTAATTTCTTATTAGATCTACAATGTTGACCTGGTGCTCAGCTGTACAGTGCTGCAGGGTGGCATTTACAGAACTTAGCAACCTGAAAAAAATAAGACAGACAGGAAGACTTGTTTAGTTATAAGCCATAAAAATCAAAAACTGAATCTTTGATTGTTTTTTTTTCTTTCATAGTAGAGTAGTAATTTGGGTATCCAGTTATTTTACATAACAGCAAACAAGCCTGACTGAAAAAGCAAAAAACACAGAAGACACGGGGTGGAGATTTGCGTCAATAATTACCTTAAAAGCTGGAACCAGTACATACATTACTTTTACAACAATCAGCATAATATTACGATATTTGTCGTGTCAATACTATATCAATACATAGACACCAAATATCATTACTGTATTAAATTAAATTAAATACTGGGAATAATAAGAACAAAGGGGCTCATCTCGTCTACTAGGAGGCAACCTTTCTGCAAATAGTTATGGTCTGACTCAGACTGTCTGTAGTCACTCTCAGAGAGATTGTCGAGTGTTGTCAAATAATTGCTGTGTAATTTACAAATGCAGACAGATTGCCAATATGTTTCCATCTGAATGAGTCTTTGTCAATGAGCACAACTCGAGGGGACACAACACAACTCAGCTGGTTCCATTTTGGTCATATTCCTACAGAACAGGAAGGCTGCTGAGCGCAAACATAATTATTAAATGCAAATTTCTGTTAAATGTAAATTTCTGTCTATGCATACTACAACAGATATACGACTTCCGTTGATTTATCACAGTTATTTGATGTATTGTCAGAAACAGACTGCATGTAGTTGCCAAGTTGACCCTATTCAATTGTCGACTGAGTATCTTATGGCACAATTTATGGCAGGATTTAGTGACAGTGTTGATGTGCTTGACAATCTCGTTTTGCACTGAACAAAAAAAAGTTGCAGTATGTGAGATAACGTCATCTTATTGGACAAAGCAGAGGCCATAATTTTGCATTAGAAAAGGGTGATAAATCTTAAATACTTAAAAAAAACAATACTATTGTATTATGGGGCATCTGGTGATTTCCACCTCTACAATGTAGTAGGGTAGCCTTGGAGATATGCAGCAATATGTTAGTGGTTCTTCTTTTGTCTGCTAGTGCAGGTGCTGGGAACTTGAGTACCTGGTTGTGTCTCCAGGTGTATCTGCCACGCGTTACACTGGTACTACAAGTAACGAGTATGTGCTTAAGACTGACTGAAGCTGAACATAGCTGACAGGCTGCACCCTCCCCTACTCAAAGGTTTAAGCTTTCAGGTGATGGAAGGACATCATATGTTGCACAGCTGAGGTAGTACTCAAAAACAGCTCTTTTGATGATGAAGCTTGCTGAGGTTTGCATAATGTCAAAGGAACTTGTCTTTATTCTGACCATGAGTTATTTGCACTGACACAAAAGTACAATTATTACACATGAATTGAAAGTTTAGGGCCACTTAGTGTGTGCAAGTTATATCTGTAGTGTTTTGTTACACGATCTCTTTTAGGTAAAGCATCTTCAGATCTGAGAAACTCAAAATGCGTGTAAACGTGTCGCCAATCATTCTAAGAAAAGCAGTGACAGACAGGTCCAGAGCAGGGTGATCTCACCTGTCACAGAACAAACAGGTAACCGGCTGACTGTCCTCCTCCATCCACTGCCACTGCTCTTCATCATCAACGTCATCATCATCATCACCGTCTGAGAGCTCAGGCATCTCCTCAGCAGCTCCATCGACGTCTGCCAAAGTTAAATCTCATGAGTGTAAACGCAGATGTAAAAGCAGCTGTGTGACGAAACTAGAAACACGATTCTTCACCAAAGTCAATAACACAAATGAACTAGCTCAAAGAAGAGTATGTGTGTTTGATTAATACAGTTATTTCTCACTCACGTGGGTCTGTGTACTCTGCCATGATGTCGCTTTGAGTCCGGAGGACTTCCTGGTGACGTTTGGTGACGTAAAAAATGGGACGGGCCCATTCCGAAGAAGCTTCCACATACAAACCACCAGATGTCGCCAAAGTTTAACTAAGGTAACACGTAAATAACGTGGTTTGTATAATGTTTTGTTGGATGTTTGCAGGTACATTACAAACAGGTACATGCACTGGTTTAGGTTAGTTTTAGCTGTGGGTGCTACCAAAGCGGTCAGATTATAGTTATCTGAAACTTTTGAGGTACTTTCTAATGTCAAAATATCCGGGTTTTTTCCTTTTTTATCCATTTAAATTCAAGGTATATAACTGCAGGAGTGATTATGGCAGCATTATTACACACATGGGTGGTTTTTTTTTACCATAAACAGTGTGACCTCTCTAAACATTAAACCATGACAATAGGCAGAGTGATAACAAAATCAAACTATTAGGGTAGTGTTATTATGTCAAAGGTGGGGCCAGGTTTCACAATGAGCTCACCCGAAACCCTGGCTGATTGGGACCCACACCCAGTTTCACACCTTGGCTCAGGCAATTAGAGGATCATCAGGGGGTCCTTTTGTCCCTCTGTGGGGGGATACTCCCACTAGGTTTAAATCTGGGACTCCCCACCATTTGACCTTAGAACTGAAGAAGCTTCTCGGATGAGAGGTGAAACGTCTTCAAGTAACTTAAAGAAGTCCAGACGCTTTTCTTTGCAAGCTCCTTTGACTACAATGACCTGGATGACTGAGAACCTTCACAGACGTAGTGTTATTATGTTTTTGGACCCCATCTGGGCTGTTTAGAGGGTTACAATCATCCCAAGGTTGCAGCATAAGACTAGGTGCTCTGTATTTTTAGCTTACTGAATTGCCTTATTTTTTTTTTTTTTTTATGCATTAAAGGTAATCTTTTGTTTTTGTTTAGTTTTCAGTCTTAGTGAGGTAGAGGACCATCTTGCTGGAAGAGTAGGCCCCTTTGAAAGCAACTGGGACACCACTATTAAGGATGTTATTTTGGTTTGCCATGGGACACACCCATTGTTCCAGCACTAAAAAAGGACCGTGGAGTCTGAATCTGTGGAGACTCTTTAGTAACACTAACTACAGTGTTGGCAGCAGGGCAGTACCCCCAGATTGATGATTTGTTTGCTTGAATGAATGGAGGACTGAAATTCAGAATTCAAAATTTTTCTCTGTCAAGCTTACTTATAGATCCATGTAGAAGAGCAGTCATGTGAAATGCTGACCAGTATCACACATAAAGGGCTTTTTTTAGACACTGCCTTGTAGCAGTTCTGCTGAGCTCTGTCAGCACTGTTCCAGTGAACAATGGATCAAATCCTGAGTGAGTTATTAACAGTGTAGAGTTATCTCAATAATATTCTGCACACTGGAGCAGATGAGGACCAGCACCCGCACAACTTGGATAGAACCTACAAAGAAAGAATATGTCTTGAGTGTCCATGAAGGGAAATGTTTTTCCAGTCATCTGTGGAATGTTTGGGATATGTGATTGATGCTAATTGACTACACACTGCTGCACTGAAACTCACAGCCATTGCTGATGCACTTCCACCTCAAAACATTACTCTGTTGCCAAAAAAGACAATCAAAGATCTAAATGGATTCTTTCATTAGTGACTCGAGTTGTTTCCCTAAGAGTTTGTCAGATCATTGAGTTATTTTTAAGGGTATTTTGTCCTTCCTTCATTTCTGCACACTTCTGCTCCACAGCCTTTTCTATTTTATTTGTCATTTTAAGTTCCTTACGTTTCTTTTGTCAACTGATGTTCTCCTTTTCAATATATCAGGTTAAAAAGGGTATCCCTTTGAGTTTTTTACGGAGCTCTGTAACTTCAGCTTGCAGAGCCAGATTTGACATGCTGAAGAAGAATGAAGTTAAATGAGAAAAAGAAGCCCTTCTTTTCTCCTTTAACTTCATTCTTCTTCTTCTCCAATGTTTCCTCTTTTGAGAACTTTGACTTCGGCACCTCAAGCTTCATCTGCAGTGGTATTTTAGTTGATAAGAGACTTTCTCTCTGCTTTCATTCACATGTAATTTACCATATAAGCATTCAGATCTTCTACAATCTCATTGTGCATCTGAATTTCTTGAATCACCAATTTTGGACCTCGTCACAGAGCGCTTTGATTTTATTTTGAAGGGAAATACATTATATAGCTGGTATTCTGCCTGTTTCTTTTTGCAGAGGAAGTGGGGATATATTGCACTGTGTACATTGAGATATTTAAATAGTTTCTCAATCCAATATACAGAATGAGAAGTGACCTATAGGTCACTTCTCATTCTGTATATTGGATTGGATTGATTGGATTGTTATTATTATATATAATAATAACACCAACTGCTAAGGAGATACAGTCAGCATTTTTCATTTATGTTTATAAGAACAAAATATTATAATGTAGGTTTGAGTATGGTTAAAGTAAGTTTAATCCAGTAGTTAGTTAGTTAGTTGGCGGTAGCCTGCATTTGACTTTAAAAAATTAATGTCAGTGTATATTTGCAAATACAGGAGTCTGGTTTTAATTATTTCATAAATATTTTTCATTCACCAGTTGCCCACGTTTTCCCACTTTCCAAAAATATCAACCTTATCTGGAAACTCTAAATATGGCAGGGATACATCTGATGGGACTTTCCTCAGAAGTTGTTGACAGTAAATCTAATCAACCACTAGAGGGCGACAATGATCATGACATGCACTGATTTTTTTTTAATCTTTTGTGATTGTAGATTAAATTCAATAGTAAATGCCTTACTGGATATTAACATCAAAGGAACTTCAAACCCTGCAGATGGAGCAGTTTTCCCTCAGTGTCAAATGCCATGATGCAGCAATTCTGCTTTGTTGTTGTTGTTGTTTTCAAATTTCAATTCAATTCAATTCAATTTTATTTATATAGCGCCAAATCACAACAAAAGTCGCCTCAAGGCGCTTCATAGATACAGAGAAAAACCCAACAATCATATG